AACTTTTGGCACTTTTTTAAGGAAGTGGGGGAGAGCAGGTACATGGCTTTGACAAAAACCCAGTCCCACTTCCGGGTGTGGCAATCTGAGTTCACCCCCCTTTCCCCGCAGCCTTCTGGGACATATCACAGATCCCAGAAAGCTGCTGGACCATTCACAATGCATAGCACAGCTCGCGCATGCGCAGTGGGAAGCCGGCTGTGACGCCACAAGCAGTCACAGCCAACTTCCCAAAGTAATCACGCCAACACTTGGTCCTCAGGTGAGGACAGCGCTGGATCCCTGGACATGTACAGTAAGTGTCCTATTAATAAACGTCAGCAGCTACAAATACTGTTCTTTTAATTTTTATGTTTCAGACTGAAGAACCTCTTTGCCATTATTATTTATAACAAAATAAACCACAGATATTTATGATTGGTCATGCCCTTGGCCGTCTATGCCCACCCTTTCCACCCAGCTATTCCATTCATAGAGGACATACTACAGCTTCTATGAATGAAACACAATCTATGAATGGAGAGGGTGGACCTTTCAATCATCTGCCCATTCTCCATTCAAACATCTTGTTTCATTCATAGAAGATTGAGTATGTAGGAGGGTCTGGTTGTAGGATTGGGGAATTCAATGCAGGAAAATGTCAAGGAAACCAGAAGCTAGCAACACGAGGGCCACAGTGCATTAGTAGTAAAGCTGGCCATACTTGGATCCAAATTTGGCCAGTTGAGCAGGAACCAGATGAATTTTGATCCATGTATGGCTGTACCTGAAACGTTGATCTATTGTTTGACTTTTCATGATAAGCCTTGGAAAATTTCCACTCCATCAGTGCATGCAGCCAATGGGCTTCAAAGCTGATCAGTGTATTCTGACAAAAGGGGAGTCCCGCTGCCAGATTACAATAACACAGCAGGGAGGATTTTCCCATCCACCTCGAATGTGTGGACAGGGAAATCGGCTCAGGTTTTTAGTGAAAAAAAACGGAGCCATGTATGGCCAGCTTAAGTCATGTCCCTTGTGCTGATTTTTGTGTTTTTTAATTTGTATCACATTATAGGTTTTAATAGTAAACAAAAGATGAAAAGATGTATTCTTACTTCACACAAACCCTCCAAATTATAAACTGCATGGCCAATGGTGGAGCCACCATTGACTAAGCATAAAGAAAGGTCAGCACGCCTTGATGAAGAGGACCAGCATGCCCTCTGAATTGTACCTTGTGACTGCTGTCTGCAGTAAAAGAGCTAACTTGGAGTACTGGCCCTTCTTCATGCTGGTTAAAGCTGAACTCCAGTCTTCCCTTTAGTCTTGCACAGTTGTACAAGGTGGCTGGAGGATGTCCAGCATTATCTAGCCCTTTCCTTCCCAGCTACCTATCCTACTTCCTTCATTCATTGGATTTTAGTTATTTCAATCATGGAGGCTCAGTATCACATGTGGGCATCAGGGTGGTCTTCAGAAAAAAACAACCTGCCTACAAAAGCCCACTCCTCCACACTGAAAACCCACCCATTAGGACATTTTGATATTTTTGTAAAACCTCCCAGCCCACTTCTTGCATCAGGGCTGAGGGCTTTGAAGAAGAGTACTGAGGCCAAGATCAAAAACATGGGGACACGACCTCAAACTATCTGGAGGAAAGTTCAAAACTAATCCTATTTATTTATTTCAGGTACTTATACAGCGCCATCAATTTACACAGCGCTTGTACATTCACATCAGTCCCTAACCCTCAGGGGGTGTACAATCTAAGGTCCCTAACTTACATTCATATACAAGGGCCAATTTAGACAGGATCCAATTAACCTACCAGCATGTCTTTGGAGTGTGGGAGGAAACCGGAGTACCCAGGAGAAACCCACGCAGGCACAGGGAGAACATGCAAACTCCAGGCAGGAGATGCCGTGGCTAGGATTTGAACCAACGGCCCTAGTACTGCCAGTTGGAAATGCTAACCATTTAGCCACTGTGCTGCCCAATCCTAGAAAGTATTATTTTACTGAGAGGGTAGTTGATGCCTGGAATGAACGTCTAGTAGCACGCCAGTGAACAGCACATGATTTCAGACATGCTTGGGAGAAACATATCTATAATCTGATAAAAAGTGAAAAGAAAACAAAAAATAAAACATGTATTGAGTTCTCCACGCCTGCCGGCGGGCATACGGGTACGTCGCTGCCTACTTCCAGGTTTCAGGCGTGGGTATATGCGAACCCCTCCCCCCGCTGTGGTTAAACACAATGGCAGCCTATCAGTAAGTCCCGGCCAATGATTCACAGCTGGGAGCTTGTGATTGCCTGTGTACAAATTGGTAAACAACGTAGAGCTCTATACAGAGTCAGCGATCTATACATTTCTCATCCCTGCAAAGCAAGGATAATAAACTAAGAGATCATTTAGTAAAAGCAGCACATCATACATACATTTAACCCCTTGATTGCCCTAGATGTTAACCCCTTCCTAGACAGTGTCAGTTAGTGTCAGATTGCCCGCTGCACTCCTGCAGTCCCATTATAAGTCGCTGATTGCAGCCTTTAGTAGTATTCCAGTATATATACCATAGTTTGTAGGCGCTAAAAATTTCATGCAAACCAATCTAGACACATTTATTGGGATTTTTTCTTTTATCAAAGACATGTAGCAGAATATATTTGACCACAATTTATGAAGTAAATAGATTTTAAATTTTTTTTAATTAACCACTTACCCTCGTTTGAGGATTTCCCCCCCTTACTGACCAGGCCATTTTTTGCATTACGGCGCTGCGTTACTTTAACTACCTGCCGACCGCAGATAGCCGAATGACGGCTGCACTGCGGCCGGCCAGTTCTGGGTGGACGTCATATATGACGTCCTCCCAGAACACGCTCTCCTGCGCGCCCCAGGGGGCGCGCACCCGGCGATCTCCGTGATCGCTGTGTCCTACAGACACAGCTGATCACGTGATGTGGTAAAAAGGCCAATCACAGCAGCCTTTTACCACGTGATCAGCGGTGTCCAATGACACACTGATCAGAGGGAAATGCAAGTGCCGGTTCTCGGCTGCACTTTTTCCTCACGCTGTCAGATCGTGAGAAAAGTTTACTGCCGAGAACCGGCAGTTGTCACAGCGGGGATCGGCACCGATCATCAGGGCACTGATGATCAGTGCCCTGATGATCGGTGCCCAGCAGTGCCACCCGCAAGTTCCGCCCACCTGTGCCCCAGCAGTGCGCCCACTAGCTCCGCCCACCTGTGCCCAGCAGTGCACCCACCTGTGCCCAGAAGTGCCACCTACCTGTGCCCAGCAGTGCCACCCACCTGTGCCCACCCACCTGTGCCCACCAGTGCCACCCACCTGTGCCCACCCACCAGTGCTGCCCACCAGTGCCACCAACCATCCCCAGTGCAGCCCCAGCAGTGCTGCCAGTTAGTGCCACCAGTCAGTGCCCAGGGGCTGTGCCAGTCAGTGCCGCCAGTCAGTGCCCAGCAGTGATGCCAGTCAGTGCCGTCTATCAGTACCCATCATCAGTGTCACCTATCAGTGCCGCCTATCAGTGCTGCATATTAGTGCCGCCTATCCGTGCCACCTCATTAGTACTGCCTATCAGTGCCCTTTAGTGCTGCCTATCAGTGCCCATCAGTGCCGCCTATCAGTGCCCATCAGTGCTGCCTCATCAACGCACATCAGTGAAGGAGAAAAAATACCTGTTTGAAAAATTTTATAATAGAAACAAAGAAACTTTTTTTTTTTTTTTCAAATTTTTTGCACTTTTTTTATTTATAGCGCAAAAAGTAAAGCGCCCAGTGGCGATTAAATACCACCAAAAGAAAGCTCTATTTGTGAGAAAAAAATGATCAAAATTTCATATGGGTACAATGTTGCATAACCGCGCAATTGTCAATCAAAGTGCGGCAGCGCTGAAAGCTGAAAATTGGCCTGGTAAATAAGGGGGTATAAGTGCCTGGTATGCAAGTGGTTAACTGACCATTGCGTGGTCATGCAACGCTGCATCCAAATTAAATTTATGTAATTTTTTTCCCACGAATTGAGCTTTCTTTTGGTGGTATTTGATCGTCAGTGCGCTTTTTATTTTTTTGCGCTATGAAGAAAAAAGTCAGACAATTTTGAGAAAAAAACTTATATTTTGGACTTTTTGCTATTAAAAACATTTTAAAAATCAAATTTAAGTAAAAACACTTTAAAAATCAAATTTCGTCATAAATTTAGGCCAAAATGTATTCTGCTCCATGTCTTTGCTAAAAAAAATTCTCAATATGTGTAAATTAATTGGTTTATGTGAAATTATAGCGTTTACAAATGGCGGTATAGATAATGGGATTTTTTTTTCTTCTTCTACTAATGGCAGTGATCAGCGACTTTTAGTTGGACTGTGGCGGACATTCTGACACTGGGGGGGAACTACCTTGGTGTCACTGACATCCCCAGTGACACCAATACAGTGATCAGTGCTAAAATAAAAAGCACTGACACTGTACTAATGACACTGGGCATGAAAGGGTTTACATGAGAGGTGATCAAAGGGTTAACTAGATGTAGGGAGTGTTTTACTAGGGGGCGGGGGGTGTGTGCTTCACTGTAAGTACACTGATCGGGATGGCTGTTGTTGTGCGCCGGCGGGTAATTACCAGCGGCATGGGTAGGGCACGCACCCAACTCGTGCGCGCCACCTACCTGGATATGCAAAATCACGTATATATAGCAGTATTTCTGCTATAAGGCCGTCGGGAAGCGGTTAAATATGTTTTATAACAGTGAAAAATATTGTTTGTGTTTTCAAAATTTTTGGTCTTTTTCCATTTATATGATAAAAAATAAAACCAGTGGTGATCAAATACCACCAAAAGTAAGCTCTGTATGTGTGAAAAAAAAATTATTTAAATTTTGTTTGGGTATAGCACTGCATGACTGGGCAATTACCAGTTTAAAATGTTACTAAACCCCAGACCCTGCATGCACTATATTTGGTCTCCCTGGACCCCACATTCCCTATATTTGGTCTCCCCGGACCCTGCATTCACTATATCCGCTCTCCCTGGACTCTGTATTCACTATATCCGCTCTCCCTGGACCCCGCATTCACTATATCTGGTCTCCCCGGACCCTGCATTCACTGTATCCGCTCTCCCCGGACCTTGCATTCACTATATCTGGTCTCCCCGGACCCTGCCTTCACTATATCTGGTCTCCCCGGACCCTGCATTCACTATATCTGGTTTCCCCTGACCCTGCATTCACTATATCTGGTTTCCCCGGACCCTGCATTCACTATATCTGGTCTCCCCGGACCCTGCATTCGCTATATCCGCTCTCCCCGGACCCTGCATTCACTATATCTGGTCTCCCCGGACCCTGCATTCACTATATCTGGTCTCCCCCGGACCCTGCATTCACTATATCCGCTCTCCCCGGATCCTGCATTCACTATATCTGGTCTCCCCGGACCCTGCATTCACTATATCCGCTCTCCCCGGACCCTGCATTCACTATATCTGGTCTCCCCAGACCCTGCATTCTCTATATCTGGTCTCCCCAGACCCTGCATTCACTATATCCGCTCTCCCCGGACCCTGCATTCTCTATATCTGGTCTCCCCGGACCCTGCATTCACTATATCTGGTCTCCCCGGACCTTGCATTCACTATATCTGGTCTCCCCGGACCCTGCCTTCACTATATCTGGTCTCCCCGGACCCTGCATTCACTATATCTGGTTTCCCTGACCCTGCATTCACTATATCTGGTTTCCCCGGACCCTGCATTCACTATATCTGGTCTCCCCGGACCCTGCATTCGCTATATATCCGCTCTCCCCGGACCCTGCATTCACTATATCTGGTCTCCCCGGACCCTGCATTCACTATATCTGGTCTCCCCGGACCCTGCATTCACTATATCCGCTCTCCCCGGATCCTGCATTCACTATATCTGGTCTCCCCGGACCCTGCATTCACTATATCCGCTCTCCCCGGACCCTGCATTCACTATATCTGGTCTCCCCAGACCCTGCATTCTCTATATCTGGTCTCCCCAGACCCTGCATTCACTATATCCGCTCTCCCCGGACCCTGCATTCTCTATATCTGGTCTCCCCGGACCCTGCATTCACTATATCTGGTCTCCCCGGACCCTGCATTCATTATATCTGGTCTCCCCGGACCCTGCAATCATTATATCTGGTGTCCCCGAACCCTGCATTCATTATATCCGGTTTCCCTGAACCCTGCATTCACTATATCTGGTCTCTGTGATGTGTTCAGGAAGCTACAAGTCCAATCACAATATTTCCAACGCATTCGTTCCTGAAGATGGCTGTTCAGTATTGATGGGTGCTGCAGTGACCACAGGCTGCGAACCGTAGACAATGCAAAGAAATGTCACCAGCACACCAAGGGTTCCTCAAATGGGTCCAAAACTTTGTTTAGTGGTCATATGGTACATACAATCGCAACGTTTCGGAGCCATGCAGGGCCCCTTCGTCAAGGCACTTGCCTGACGAAAGGGCCCTGCGTGGCTCCGAAACGCTGCCTTTGTATATACCATGTGACTATAAAATAAAGCTTTGGACCCATTTGAAGAATCCTTGTGTGCTGGTGACATTTCTTCGCATTGAGTGTTCCGGAAGCTATGTACAATACCCAGCTAGCCACTCTCACCAGCCACGATCTGCCTGCATTACACAGAGAGCACAGAGGCACAGTAATGATGTCACTGGGTCTAAATTAACATATGTAAGGAGACAGAAAGGTTTGCTTTTAAAATGTTATTATCATATTGATCAAGGGTGGGAAACCAAAGATTGCACACAAAACTTCAGCATTACACGTAAGGAACACCTGACCAGGGGCGGACTGACAACTCATGGGGCCCCCGGGCAATAGGGGATCATGGGGCCCCTGTGTCCTTGCCCAAACACAAAAAAACCTATGAAAAAGGTACCAGGGGCATCTCATGGGGCCCCCTACTGACCCCGGGCCCTCGGGCAGTGCACGAGTTTCCAAATGGTCAGTCCGCCCCTGCACCTGACTAATGGAATAACAAGCTTCTGCACACAAAATGGCGGCTTCTAATATGGCGGTGCAAATAAGAGACGTTTTTGTTACTTGCCAATGTAGACCCTCGCAGCAAATTGTTTTACCATCTATTTACATTCCTGAGTCATTTCAAAATGTCAATATCCTCAGGAACATGAACAATGTGAGGCTAAATCTAAATAAAATCTGGGAACACTTAGCCGACTTTCACCATTACAAATGTCACTTTGTCTTGGAACATCGACGGGCTCCGAATCTCGTCCGTACCCTCCGCCGCGCACATCCCATCTGCGGCTATGTGCGGGGGAAATGCATAAACATAAAATAGTGCAAGGTGGCCGTGTCAGTTGATGAAAATGGTTGACAGATGGGCAAATGTCCGTAACATGTTACAGAATGTTTATGTCGCTAACATGACATTTGTTGCCTTTGTGTGGAATGAATACATGGGAGTTTTACAACCGGAATCTGGAAAGAAATATAAAAAATGAAAAATGCAAGATGATCACCAGACAACAAATGTCAATATTTCCAGCCAATAATTAACCACACACAATGACCAGCCAATAGCAATTTTACCACTGACTAGTGGCTTCCCCAGGCACCACAACGCACCAGTACACCATGGTGCTCATGTGCACTGCAGTGGACACAGCAGATGTGGCAGCACAGTGGCTAAATGGTTAGTACTTCTGTAAACAGAACTGGACCCCAACTACACTGGGGTATTTCCGTTAGACTCCCGCTTCCCTGTCCGAACACAGATCCACGGACACCACCGCTGGCCATACAAGACGAGACAGCACCAGACTTGAAGGAAACCAGAAAATAGACTGCTATATTTTAACACAGATACAAGATATCATGGTGGATAAAAATCAATGATTTTTTAAAAACAAATCAAAAAAATCTGATTTTTTTGATTTAAATAGGATTTTTTTTTATTTAAATCGGATTTTTTTTTTATAAATAAAATGCTTTTTGAGGAAAATATATTACCATCCAAAGGTTATTCCATCATGAAATAAAGATTAGTTTTTTATTTATGTAGAATGAGGCTGTATATGTTTAATTTTTTTGGTAAATAAATTCCATGAATCCATTCACAATGTCATGCTCTCCAGAGGTTTCTGTAAGATTATTGGGCAGTTTCTCTGCCTACAAGATATTATCACAGATGTTCGGTTTACTTTTGCAGTTCTCAAAACTGAATTTGGCTCAGCGGAGATCACATGCCTCTTCTTCACAGCAAAAATGTTATAACATGAACAGAGTTAAGAAAAAGACCTTCATCCTAACTTCTACAAACCTCTGAATACAGAATCAACCCCTTCACTGCTAAGTTTCAAGAAGTTGAGTGAATAGAATAGAAACAATATTTTTCTGATTGTTTGGAGTGGAATAGATCTGCACAAGAAGAAAGTGAAACTAAGTGGAGGGGGAGGGGCTGACAGTCTAAGTTTCTTAAAATATATATATTTTGTTTAGCCAAATTAGTTAACAAACATGGATGTTTAAGCAAATCACATCTGCTGGAATGTTATTGTTTCAGTTGAATAAATCTATTTAAATTGTTATTATTAAGGTAATGATTATTTTTCTCCTTCCTAAGTACAACAGAAAAGTTGTCCAAATATGAATGATTAACCTATTAAACTGGGGATAAAAAAACTAATATGAAAAGTTGTTATTCTAAAAATCTTCATCTACTTGTATATTAAAGTTACACCAGCAAGAATTAGTCTTTATGTAGAAAACTAGGATTTACATCAAGCCTTACTGACTAGTGATTTAAATCGTGATTTAAATCAGTTTGATTTAAATCAAATCCACCCTGCAAGATATATACACACAGAGCGGGGCAATACATTTAGTAACAAGAGACACACACAGCAGACACCCCCCACCAAGCCAATACACAAACACATACATCCCATAATAGTTTGCTCCCAAGCAAGACACACAATAGAACAATGGGAAAACCACATGGCATTAAACAATGAACAACCCCCATCTATACATGTCTACACAATAGCAGGACATTTCACCCTGCACCCCTAACAGGCACAGGGTGACTTACACATAAGAGGGATATGGGGAGCTGAGACAGGGGTCCATGGGCCCCCCACCCAAAGTGATTCCCATCACAACTTCTGCCTGGCAGTACTAGGGTCGTCGGTTCAAATCTCAACCACTCACCACCTGCCTGGAGTTTGCTTGTTCTCCCTGTGCCTGTGTGGGTTTCCTCTGGGTACTCCAGTTTCCTCCCACACTCCAAAGACATGCTGGTAGGTTAATTGGCTCCAGTCTAAATTGTCCCTAGTATGTGTATGTATGAATGTGAGTTAGGGACCTTAGATTGTACGCCCCTTGAGGGTTAGGGACTGATGTGAATGTACAATATATGTGTAAAGTGCTGGGTACATTGACGGCGCTATATAATTATACCTGAAATAAATAAATAAATCACAGTGCTCAGTACCCATCCAGGTATCATATGATCGCTATGACCAATCATAGCAATCACATAATAACATGTAAACAAAACTGTCATAATTGTCTTTCATTCATGACAGCTTGCTTACTTTTGTGACTGATCACATAGTACAAGGCAATTCACAGCAGCCTTGTACCATGTGATAGCTGTATCCAATCACAGCATCACAATAGTAAGCAAGCTGTCATGAATGAAAGCCATGCATGGCAGTTAAAATTATTGCGGTTACAGTGATCATCACTATTATAAGCAATCACAGTGTAATAAAAAAAAATATTGATCACCCCCCAGAGTAGTGCAGTGTCATTACGTAAAAAAAAAAAAATGTAAAAAGAAAAAAGGTTATAAAAACTAAATACATTTTTTTGTTTACATACTGATTCCAGTCAGATATCCCTCATCACCACTACACCAGTCATATGATGATGCCGTACTGCACTTAAAAAAAAAAAAAGTGCATTTTCCAATAAATTACAATGTCAAACAACTCACAATGCCTCTTACCCTGGACTGTCTGCTTTCCAAAAACTGGTAATTTTGGGGGTATTTGTACTGTCCTGGCATTTTATGGCATTGCATACATTTTCACCAAAGAAATATAGCAGAAAATCATTATAGTGTAAATTTATGAAGAAAAAATGCTTGCTAATTGTATAACAGAAAGAAAAACAAGGTTTTTTTTTTTAGTTTTTTATTTTATTTTTCAGTATGTTTTCCGTTTATATAGCAAAAGAATAAAAACCCCAGTGGTGATTAAATATCATATATAAGATATCAATTTCATTTGCATACGGTGTTGCATGACAGAGCGATTTCCAGTTTAAGTAGCGCAATGCTGAATAGAAAAAAATACCCAGGTCTTAAAGGGGTAAAACTGTCCAGGAGGTCAAGTGGCTAATGGCTTGGTATACCCAAAATAGAAAGATCATTTACCTACACAACATCTGAAAGCCTAAAGTGGTCCT